CGCAGGCCATACAAACCGCCGACCTAACTCGGCGATTCGTTGTGGTTTGTGTAAGGAATCCACATCTGACGATATTTGTGTGTTCTACTACACCACCAGTAGTCAGGAGAGACGTTCAGCAGCTCGACGTCCAGTAGTCTAGCGAAGATCTGCACGTCCTAACGACAGTGTCCTGAAACGTTGTCCCACAGCAGCAGGCTAGGCTCTTGCATGTTGAGCCTACCGAGGAAATTGGTAGCTAAGTAGCGCAAATTTATAGCTTTCTGTTCCGCAAAACTGTAGCGTTTCCATGCCTGTCGCTAACATGAGAGCAATACTCCTCACGGTCGACCCTGTTCTTGGTCTTGGTCAGTTATTTTTGGATCTCGTGCGGCAACTGGGTCACGCATCCAAACGAATCCCAGCTGGGATCATAAAGTCGGTCCCGAGTACCACGTCGACGTCTGCACAATGTGTCATATCCCACTTTTCAAGCTCGTACACCATCTCCCATCCGAGCGTAATATCGACGAACGCTCGCCCTGTCGCTAACACCTTGCCTTTACTGATTCCTTAAATGTCAATACGGCGTCCGTGATCGGGTTTATCTCGGAGCCTTAACTTTTTGGCGAAGGTGTCCGTGATCACATTAACGTTCGTTCCCGTGTCGAGGAGAATCCTCGTACGTCTGCCACTCACGGCGCCCTGCACCGGGGCTCTCATTCTGATCCTCCTGTCGAATTTCTTGGCCGACCACCACCCGTGTCTCTCGCCAGGGTTCAGCTTCATCATCTTGAAGTGCCCTTGGGCTCGTCTCGCGCTGCACTAAAACCACGCCGAACGAAACCTTGCTGGTGCCTCCGTCATCATAAGCACACTCCTCTCTCTCTCTCTCCAACGCTCCCACCAAGGATTATTCGCTTCTCCTTTTCATTTTGCGTCGCATTCACACTTGTTATATACTCATCAGGTCTTTTACCTTTTTTCCAAGAAAGTGAATATACAATCAGCTTCCAATGAAGGCTCGGCTAACTGTGGCGGCCCGATAGGAACCAACTTAGTTGTAGTTGGCGGACTGCCTAGTTTAAATGGCGTTCCTGAACGACGGCCTCGAGCTCTGGTGGGAGCTCCTCCTTCGTGCCTTTGGTTCGCACGAATTTGGCAAGGTCTTGGAAGTTGCGGAAGAGCTCGCATTGTCCAGCGTCGTGGGGTTGCTTGCAAAACTTGCACCGCTTGTTGCAGTAATGGGCCGAGTGACTCATCACACCGCACACAGCGCATGGTCCGTACTGTGGAAGTCGGTTGTTGCGGTTGAAGTCGTGTCGACCGCGTTGGTCCTAATTGAACTCAAGGTAACCACCTCGGCGATTTTGCTTGAAGCCACGCTCGCGATCGGGCATGTTCCCACGCGACTGACGGCTGTCTGAGCGAGCATACGTGCCTTCAGCAGCTACACAGGGCTCATTTTCATTAGCCGCGACAAGGTGTCAATCATTTTCGACCAATGAACAGTCGTCATACTCGCTTTGGTCATCGTCGTGGGTGTTTCAATCCTCATTTGATACTCGGTATCCCCTAGAGCAGCTTCACGGCCTTCTAAGTTTGCTAGTAAGTCATCCACCGAGGCTTCAATGAGCGTCACTCTCGGTTTATTGCGATAGTCGTCACGGCGACGGTCAGGTTCGCAATCACGTCGGTTGTGACGAGCATAATCATCATCTCGTACCGTCACGTTTTGCCATTCGTTCTTTGTCCTTGAGAACATCTTCGATGGTCTTTCCGAGCTCGTGGATGTCGGTGACTCGAGTGTGGTAGAGACTCTCCGCCAGCTTGTCATCATCGAACGTTGCCAGGAACTGCTGTACGTGTTCTTTCGTGTCACGACCACTCTTCTCGAAGTGTTGACGGGCGTTCCGAGCGTAACCATTCAGCCTGTTTATGTATCCGCACAGATGTTCACTACGCTCGCACTTTGCGGAGTAGTAACGGGACAGTGCCTTCTGCCTGGACTGCGAGCAGTAGTAGCATATGAGTTCGTCGTTCAACAGCTTCTATTTGCGCTTCGTCTTCTTCGAAAGTTGACGGAACCAATGGATGGCCCCGCCCCGAAGGCTTAGCTCAAATGGAATGCATCATTTGGCAGCGTCCGTGTACGCTTCAATCATTTCGTAGACGAACGCATGGAGCCACTGCATACAACTCTCGCTCTTATTACGAGAGCTTGGAGCGACATCGTCGAGGGGTACGTCTCGTTTCAAAGCCCAGCGACAATAGCAGCGAGAATCCGGATTCTCGGCAACTTGCTTAGTCGAAATTGAATTGACTGGATACTGGAGCTCTTGCGCAAGAACGGTCTAGTTGGCTTGTCTCTTAATAAGGATGGGCTTAAGCAGCTGCATCCACTCATCATTCAGCATCAGCTCCTACACGCGGTCGAAAACGCGCTTGGTGGTTGGTGTATCATCGTTGATAGGTGAGCGAGGTACATTCAACAGCGCTGGACGCTTTGCACCCGTCATCGAAGGTTCAGAACCCCCAGCCCCTTCGTCATAGTCTTCATAGTCCGGATCTGGTCCCGCAACATCGTCCAGCTCATCGGAGAGGCCCCTCGAATGAGGCCTAGTCGCCCCGCTCAGCGCTGATGATAGCGTGGTCGTCTCCGGTGTGTCGCGCGTGGCTCTGAAGTCGGCGTCTAGTCTTCGTAATCGTCATAATCCTGGGCCGATGTCCGCCTTGGTTCAAAGTTCACCGAGCGCTCGATGGCAGCTGCAAAGCGTGCAGCTCACGCCCGGACTTGAGCTCTCGCAGCGCGCTCTGCCAGACTTGGTAGGAGTAGCTGGTCCCGTCGATTGTCCTTTCGCCATTTTTCTTGTTTTCTTGTTCTTGTTCTTTTTGGCCTGATAGCTCGTAAACTGGAAGGTCATTCAACCCGTCACAATGGTCGCACTACGTTCCCGGGTCGCGGCACCAGCTGTGGTGTTGGAAATCCCATGTGAACTCTAGCTACAATCGTAGTTAGGAAGCTCTCATAACAATACGTCTGCTAGGATAGCAAACAATCGTTCGGGCGGACCTAAAGACCCCAGTTCTGCCCTTGCACCGGGACAGACTGGACTTCGTAAGCTACTCATATAGGCGAACCAGTATAAAAAAAAACACTCTACTAGCACGAGCAAATCTAATAGGTGTTATGAACCCTCGTGGTCCCACTGTATTATAGAATTTCCTTGCAAAGCACAATAAAACTACGGTATTTCTACTGCATTGTACTATTAATACAGAAGCAGCTACTGCTACTGTGGCCTACTGAGTACAGACAACGACGGTGAAACTCAACCCCCCACAAAAACTCAACCCCCCTTACAGTGCAACTTTAAACTCAAGTAAAAATGTTATTTGTAATTTTATCCAATAATATACTTTCAAATACATTGCTGGACAGCACGCCATGCTGGCGCCGTTTAAACAATCACGCTATTGCTGTTTCTGCGAAGTGATGGACGAACGTCGTCGGCAGAACAGCTACACCGTCAAGCAGAGACGGGAAGCGCTCGAGCGGGTGGCTCTGGAGGGATGTAAGCCTACCGCTCGGGCGCTTAATATTCCATTAGGTACGTTGAAGGGCTGGAGAAAGAAGGCAAAGCTGCTGTTTGAGTTTAAGGGACCTCAAACTAGCAGAACGACGAAAGGACAAGGCGCAAAGACTAAAATCACATTTGAGCACGAATTGGTCACCTTCATGAAAGACGTCCGTCGGGATGAAGAGGTAAATTTGTTTTGTTATATTATTTTTTGCAGATTCTAACGTGTATATATAGTATTTGTGTACTGGAGGCATGATCGAGTATATGAAGATGGAGCAGGGGGCTTGGCTGGAGCAGTATTTAGCCGATAAATCATCTCCTGAGCGCGCATTGAGCGCGTTGGTGCGTATGTGCCAGCGGTTTGCAGCTCGGTAAGCATCTCGTTTTCCAATATGTTGATTTAATCAAGCGTTTTAGCAATTTATCCTATTTTATTTGTGTTTTTAATCAATATTTATTGCTTACATATTTTTCTTAATGTTATAGCCATGGTTTTTCTGTTCAGAAACCGCAATTTACTAAAAAGGATGAAGATGCACTACAAGAAATCCATTTGAACTTTGCCATAGAGTTTTGGAAACAGCATTCTCACTTCCAGCAATCCGCCATATACAATGTCTACGAGACAGCAATATATTTTGACACCCCACCCCACAAGATTTGGGCCCTCAAAGGCCGTCGTGGCTCCACAATTAGAGCGTGGGAAAACATATCTACGGAATGTGTTATTAAAAGCGTTGAAAAAGCAATCCCAAAACACCCTGTCGTGATAGTGTAGAGCAAAATAGTACATGTTTGCTTTTTTACGGTGTTTGTTTATATTGTTTTTTCTACTTTTAATAAACTGTTGGGTCGGTTTAATTTTGACCAATCGCAGGTGATACCACGAAAGGGGTCGAGTTTTTTTGTCTTGTTGGCCTTTCTAAAAATGACTTGAAAAGCATGTCTACGGGCAAAGAAACACGTAATCAATGATGCTCGCATTATTACCTTGGGCGCCCTTGATTTATAAAAGCAACTGTACACTTTCTTACACGATCAGACACGGCCGATTTGTTATGAGGCACAGACTGTGCTGCACAGAACTGAGTTCTACTGTACTGTACTGTACATGTTTTATTAGTACCTAAGTACATGTTCTATAGTTTTAATACGATTCTGTCCTAACACAGCCTTGAAGTTTGATCAGTTTTCAGTGAAAACTTATCACGCCCGTGAGTCACAGGCATGGCGTGACGGGCGGCCCGTCACAATGATAGTGAGCGAAATATATGATGACGTTTGTCACCACGAATTTCGATCAGTAAAAAATACTGTAATCACTGCTTCTGGCCGTTATTTCATCACCGTTGGTGGCACCATCGTCCAGCTCATTCTTTAATTTTCTTCGCACCTCCAATTATCCAATTTCGAGCACCTACCGACTTTTTTTTTAACATGAGCGTGGTTGTGGCCTATGCCGCATTCATGAGCACGCTCGTCTTCAGCCCGCTGGCAGCCCATGACGGAATTGCTCCGGCCAAACCCGGCACCGAACCGTTTGAGCAATTCCGCCCGGTTTACCACTTCTTGGCACGTGACAACTGGATCAACGACCCTTGTGGACCGTACTACGACGAAGAGACTGACCTCTATCATCTCTTCTACCAGTACAACCCCAACTCAACTGTCTGGGGAAACGCAACATGGGGGCACGCCGTGTCAAAAGACCAAGTGACCTGGGAGGACTATCCCAATGCTCTTCGCCCGTTTGAGGATAAGTGGGACCACCTAGGTGTGTTCTCAGGAAGTGCTATGGGTAATGCGATTGATGGCAAGCGCACCGTGTTCTACACAGGAGTGACAGCGCTGCCCATCCACTGGACCAAAAAGTATCTTTTTGGCGAGCATGTCGTGTACGCCACTACAGCAGACAATGGCAAGACCTGGCAGAAGGGTAGTGAGCCTCTGATCGAACTCCCACCTAAGGGTCTGAATGTGACTGGGTGGCGCGATCCGAACGTCTTCCACTCGAAGTCGCTGGACACTTACTTCGGCTTCGATGCTACCAACGGCAGCAACTACCTACTGGTGGCTGGAGGCATCCACGACGTCGGTCCGCGTATATTTCTTTACCACGCCGAGGATTACGTGAGCTAAGAATACAAAGGCTTTTTGCTCGCCGAGGAGAAGAACACAACATTCTCCCCATACAGTGCAAGCTGGGGCTTTAACTTTGCAACCACTGTCTACCGCGAGATCCAGGATGAGGATGGTGAAGTGCACAACGTGATGCGGTTTGCTGCTGAAGGTGATCCAAATCGGTACCCGATGTGGGCCACGGGCTCGTTCTCCGGTGGCGGCTGTGGCGTGGAGGTCGACCCTGAGGCGGGTCTGTTTACTCCTCTGATGGTCGGTGTGTCGGATCGCAGTGACTGGTACGCCAACAGCATCTACACAGACAAGGACGGTAAGAATGTACTGATCGGTTGGATCACCGAGGACAACAACTTCACCACGGGACAGCCCCAGGGCTGAGACGGCATTTTGTCAGTGCCCCGCGAGGTGGGGATCACCATTGTGCGCGATATCTATGACGTCGACGAGCACCTGGTCGGCAAGGGCGACTGGATCGTGTCCGACTCAAAGGACGTATCGTGTGCCGACGGATCGACAAAGCAGAGCAAGACCATCAAGACGCTCGGTGTTAAGCCACTGAGTGACCTGCAGTTGCTCCGTAACGTAGACGCACTCGAGCAGGTGGCCAGCGTGTCCGTGAATGGATCATCGCAGGTGCTGAACTCGACGGGTGCTTCATTCGAGCTGATTGCTGAAGTTTCGGACTTTGAACGCGGCAGCAAGGTTGGCTTTGAGGTTCGCCGTAGCTCGGCTGGCGATGAGGTGACGACTATCTTTTACGACGACGCGGAGAAAAAGGTGACCATTGACCGCTCCAAGAGTTCGACAGCTGAATGCGCTGTGTTCAAGGACAACGGCGTGAAGCCGATTTCGGACTCTGTGTGGGGCTACTTGTATCAGATATGATAGGTGTAGAGTTACAGCCAATCAGAGACAGGCTCAGTTTAACATAGATTCAGTATGTAATACAAAAAGGCAGATGTAGGGCGGCCGTGGAACCTCCTAGAAGGTTCTAGAAGGTTCCATCCGCCTGAACTGCGGGGGCGGCACTTCTCGTTTCGCGCGCCCTCCCCCAAGCTAGCGTTTTCCTAAAATACTGGTAGCACTTGTTGGCCCCAGCAACCTGACCAGGAGGAGCCCTTGCCAACAATCGCCCAGCTACGCGCCGAGATCGATCGGCTGAATCAAGCGATGGCCGACCGCACGAAAGTGCCGAGCCATCTGCCCAAGTTCACGGGCAAGAGGGGGGGAGACGTCCGCGAATGGCTGATCCAGATCGAGAACGCCTGCCGCATCAACAACATATCAATTGAAGACACGAGCGCGCGTCTTCCTGGAATCGCCGGATCTGCAATGGAAAAGCCAGCATCCGGATGGTTTCTGCACTGGTCGTCGACAACTCGAGCGGAGGAGCACACGTGGGGGATTTTCCGTGAGCATGTGCTCCAACACTTCGAAGCGTCGAATTACCAGTCTGTCCTGCGCGAGAAGCTTCAACGCCTCAAGCAGACAGCGGACAGCGAGACCTACAATGGCGAGTATTCAGCCTTGATCTTCAGAGTTGAGGAATGAGCGTGCTTGACCAAGTACTTTACTACGCGAACGGTCTCAGGCCGCGCACGCGTAGCTATGCCAAGCTCGAGAACCCAGAAACCCTGAGCGACGCAATGGACCTTGCTGTCAAGTATGAGGTGACACACTTCGTCGACGAGTCGCGCGAACATCGTACTCGCCAAGACAAGCGGAAGGTGTCCACTGAGCACGCGCCGAGTCACGACAAGTCGCTCAAGGGAAAAACGTTCCGTGGTAAAGGGCGTTTCAAGGCGAAGACTAGCTCGAAACGAGCCGAAAGTCGTACCTGTTTCCACTGCAAGAAACCTGGCCACATCAAGACCAACTGCTTCCTTTGGAAGAAGGAGCAAGAGAAGCAGGGAAACGGGCAGCCACGTCAGTGAATGAGGGTCCTGTCGTGGAAGAGAACGTAGCCGGATCAGTTAAGTTTGAGAATGTCAGCCTTAACGTTCTGAGCGAAAACCCTCTCGTCTACAAGTCGCGTCCACTGTTCTCCGTAGAGGGGGAAATCATCGTTAGTGGCGCGACCATTTCGACCCAAAGGATGCTGTTGGACTGTGGAGCAACCACAATCTACGTGTCCAGACAGTGGGTCGAGAAACATCGACTCAAGGCCACGAAGTTCATTGGTAAGAACATTCGTGTGAAACTTGGAGACAACCAGATTGTCGAGACGGAACTGGAGGTACTTCCCCTCGAAATCCTGGTGTCTGGGTTGGGCGAGGCATACAAGTGTATCGCTGTCGTCTACGCCATACCCGACGAATTCGACTGCATCCTTGGAATCCCATTCTTCGAGGATATGTAGCCGCAGATCGACTGGAGAGGTCGATGTATCGAAGGAACGCAAGTGAAGACTCTGCATTGGAAGCGAACAGGGGAAACCAGTGGACCGATCGAGGAAGGCGGACCGGTGATTGCCTCCGGGCTTCGGAGATCTGTCGAGGCGAAAGGCCTATCGGCGAAAAAACCCGATTCCTGTCGAGGTGCCGCGCTGGAAACGGATGTGAAGTCCGCGGCTGAAACTGTTTGCGACGCAACGCAGAAAGAGAGCCCAAGAGTTGTTTGCGAACAACCAGGAGACGCGTCAGCCGGCAAGGGTTCGGCGGTGAAGGACAACTTGGAATTGTCGAAACGCGGCGGTACTGTACGAGAGGCTGGAGATAGCAGCAGTACTGGGGGCAGAGGCACTGTCGTGGAAAATATGTTCACGATGGGTGTCGTTGACGAGGCTGGTGTCCAGACGAAGTTCATCACTCGCAAGAAACTACGAAAGTTCCTGAGAATCAAGACCAAGTCGATCGATGAACCTGACTTTATGTTGGTTCTGACGAACGTGACGATCAAGCAAGTTGCTCGCTCACTGCAACGGCAAGATCAACCCGACAACGTCGGAAGTGCGAAAGCACAACGGTATCTGGATACGGACTGGGATAGCTTCAAGGGGAATCCCGCGTACCAGTTACTCATGGAGTACATGGACAATCCGTTCCGTCCTGAGCTCCCAGAAGGTTTACCCGAGAAACGCGAGATTGAGCATAGGATTGACGTGGAGGATCCGAATCTTGCAATGTATCGGCAACAATGGCGTCAATCGCCAGAGCAGCAACGCGAGACTGTGCGTTGGGTGGTAGACATGGGGAAGAAGAAGCTCATCCGTCCAAGCATCAGTCCACATGCTGCTCCAACCTTCTGTGTACGAAAACCAGTTGGCTGGAGGATTGTACACGACTACCGGTACTTGAACCCCAACACTGTACGTCAAAGTATCCCAATGACGAGGAAGGAGGACATTCTTGACGCGATGTCCGGAGCGTACTGGTTTTCCACTATGGATTTGATGTCCGCGTACTATCAAGTACGTATGCGTGAAGAGGATATCAAGTACACAGCATTTCAAGCGCCAAATGGACTCTGGGAGTATCTTGTTCTGCCCAGGAGTCTGTAATGCGCCAGCGACGATGCATCGTTTAACGTCAAAGCTGTTCCGAGGTTTAAAAAACACCAAATCGTTTTATGATGACATCTACGTTTTCACGAAGTCTCAGAGCATCGACGACCACTTGAAGGCGTTGCGCAATACATTAAATATCCTGCATGACAACAAGCAGTACGTCAAGCTTGCCAAGTGTGTCTTCTGTGCCGACGAGATTCCGTGTCTCGGGGACTTCGTAGGACGCAACGGTGTACGGATGGATCCGGACAAGGTACAAACCATCAAGGACTGGCCAGTACCACGAACACAAGAGGGACTTCACAGCTTCCTTGGGTTGACTGGTTACGTCCAACGATTTTGTCCAGACTACGCAGCATTTACTGCAACAATGTTCACTCTCTTGAAGAGGAAGAACAAGAGGAACGCGAAGATCCAATTCAATGATGAGCTGTTGAAGAATTTCAAGAAGCTGAAGAGGCGACTGTGTAATCCTCCAGTGTTGCACCTCCCTAACTTCAGCCAGTCCATGCATCTGCGCACTGATGCGAGCAAATTCGCTGTTGGTGGAGTATTATTCCAAGTCGTGGACGGAGTTGAGCGACCCATTGCGTATACCAGTCGAAAGATGAAATCCGCGGAGCTCAACTATCCAACACAGCAGCAGGAGCTACTTGCTATCGTACACGCGCTAGCAGCTTTTCGAATTTACTGCTTGGACAAACCACCGATCGTCGAGACGGATCACAAAAGTCTCGAAGGGTTGTTCACACAGAAGATGACGAACCGCCGATTGGCTAGGTGGTACGACATTCTAGCTGAGTACCAACCCACGTTCTCGTATCTTCCAGGTGCGAAAAACGGTATCACGGATGCATTGAGTAGCAGACCTGACTTGCAGCCAGATACGAAGTATTTCCATGACCTGCGTGTGTCCAGCTTCAACGACACTTCCTTCAGACTTGCTCTTAGTCAAGTGTCTACAGATTCAGAGCTGCTGAAAAGGATCAAGGGTGCTTACGTCAAAGATCGAGATGTCCAGACAATCCGGGCAGCAATCCAGCGACGTACAAGCACCTCAAAGTCGAAGGAAAAACACCAGCACCACAAGCTATACCGGTACTATTCGGAGGCAAACGGCTTGCTGTGGTACCAGTCTCCGGTGGATAACCATCCTCGAATCGCTGTTCCAAACGATGTGAAGTTGAGACAATCGATAATCAAGGAGAGTCATGACACCAACTACAGTGGCCATCCTGGTACTGAGCGAACGTACTTGACGTTAGTACGACGCTGGTACTGGTCCAAGATGCTCAAGTCGATCCAAACGTTTATTGCTGACTGCGAGCCATGTCGACGAAACAAGCCAAGGCTGACAAAGCCTCCTGGTTTACTCGAACCATTGAGTATTCCCGATGAGCGCTGGAGATCGATCTCCATGGACTTCATAACAGATTTGCCTAGAACGAAGCGTGACGTTGATTCGATTTGGGTCGTCGTCGACCGACTGACCAAGAGATGCCACTTTGTGCCGACAACGAAGAACGTAACAGCCGAAGGCGTTGCCCGTCTCTTCATCGACAACATTTGGAAACTTCACGGTATGCCGACGAATATTGTATCCGACCGAGATAGAAAATTCGTGTCTGCGTTTTGGCAACACGTCTTCAAGTCTATCGTCACGTCACTCAGCATGACAGTAGCACAGCGGGCCCAAGGCGACGGACAAACTGAGCGAATGAATCGAACGCTCGAAGAGTATCTGCGATGCTTCGTCAGTCCACGTCAAGACGACTGGGACAGTCACTTAGCGAACGCTGAGTTTGCTATCAACTCAACGGTGAACTCCAGTACTAAGCTCGCACCGTTCGAGGCGGATCTAGGGTATATCCCGCTGAATCCGCTACAGCTTGCAGCGGAGCAGCTCGATACGGTTACAAAGAGTCGTCGAGGCACTGAGTTTCACGAGAGCCAAGCAGCTATTCTTTTTGGATGCCGTGAAACACTTGCTCAAACGCAAGAGCGAATGCGTGATGTTTACGACAAGAACCGACAAGAACAAGTCTTTGAGGTTGGCGACCGTGTGTACTTGAGCACCAAACACTTGGACCCCAAGCACACTGGTCTGCCAGCATCCACTAAGTTCCGTCCGAAGTGGATTGGACCTTACTCTGTTGTGCGGAAGATACACACCCATGCTTACGAGCTTAACATTCAAGCTGACAACAAGCTTCACCTAGTATTCAATACGGGTTCGCTGAAGCCGTGCAACGAGTCGACACGCTTGTCGCGACCCAACGAGGTTGTACTGGCTGATGAAAGTATCGGCCAGATCGTCAAACGCTTGGTGAAGAAGAGGACACACAAGCGATGGACCCAATTCCTTGTGGAGTGGGTGGGA